AAGAAAATTGCACCTCAAGCAAGTTGATTGAATCCAAACGAGAGGAAAGATTCACAAGCACATCCTCGTAATCATAACCTAATCCACCAAACATATACATGGCTAGTTCATCGTCATCAATATAATGACCAACAAAATGCAATTCATCGGCCAAACTACGCATCCTAAGATTATACTCATCAAAATATAGATCATTCTTTTTGAGGGTTTGAAGTTAAAACTTAAGATGTAGAACATGATCTTTCGATTGGGTATGAAAAAGCTGCAATAAGATCGACCAAACCTCAGCCGAAGAAAAACAATGCGTAACATAACCAAACATCTACTCAATCATGGAAGCAAGCATCCAACTAAAAATGAGTTCATCCATGAGCATCCACAAGGTGAAATCGAGATTGAGCATCGGAACAGAAGAACCGGTCACGACAGGAAGAAACTTCACAAACAGTGAAAGATTAAGCATATAGTCGTCAACACCATAAGCTTGAATCATGGACATGATCTGTAACTTCCAATAAGAAAAATTGGAGCTATCTAACAGGAGAGGAAGCGGAACAAGGTATGGAACGAAATACTACACGCTGACGAAACGCGAAGCTTAACCATGGCAATGTGGAGAAAAAAAAAAGCAAGGATAAAAAATTGCAGGCTCATGATACCATGTTAGAGGGAGTATAGATCCATAACAGAGATTGAATTTTCATATGAATGGTTTTGTTGAATTACACAAGAGAAGGACGGTATAAGAGCCCGTAGCTCACAACTGTCATGTGAGCTGACAAAATTAACCTAACAACCTTTTTTTTTTTTTTCTTCTTCTTCTTCTTCTTCTTCTTCTTCTTCTTCTTCTTAGATCGTACCTGCAAGAACTCCTGACGTCGAACCTCCGATGTCTAAGTCAGCACTAGCCAGAGATAAAGATATGAGAGTATAGTGGTGAAGGTAGAGAGAATGTGTTTTTGGGACACCTTAGGCCCATTTTATAGGGGAGGCGTACTTTAGTGCATAAGTTTGACTTGAACAATACCATTATGATATGTGTCATAGCTCATGTGTAGGTTTATTCCTCAATATATTGTTTCTTATCTATCAAAGCCGGTTCAGTATGATATTCCATATCAGCATGTATTAAAGCAATGGATGAATATTAATTAATATAAAAATCGATTTGAATATTAATAATTGTTTAATAATTAAATATACATGTTATAAAATAATTATTATTTTAGATCATGATTATAATTAAGAATAATTAAAATTTAAGATATTCAAATATTGTCAATAAATAATACCCATGGAATCTCTCTCTCGTTCTCTCTATCTAACTTCTCTTACTCATATCTATTTACAATATATTATTTCGGTTTCTAAATAAGTTAGGTTGAGTTAAAAAATTGTAGCAACTAATATAACCAACAATTAATTGAAAAATAATGTAATATATATTACTTTGAAGTAAAAAAAATAATTATTAACTTTTTATTACATCAGTATTAGGCAAAATGGCGGGAATTAACACGACCTTTACGCGTTTGGCAATTTAATCACGACCTTCAAACCTTGTCAGAAAAATACATGACCTTTACAATTTTGGCAATCCGATACATACTTCTAACTGCCGTCAACGGAAGTGTGATGTGGCAATTTAACTTGACGGAAACACCAAACGGGCGTCCGAGTCAGCATCCAGGTGGCAATAACCCTAGTATAAAAGATGTTTCTTCCCCAAATTTACCACAATCGATTATTTTCCCCAAATTCATCACATGCCCTAACCCTAATTGACCCCAATTCACCCCGAAATGTCGTCATCTTCTAGCTCAGATTCAAGGAGATTGAAATCAGTATGTTTCCATGGAGACGAAGCAGTTATATTCACGTCAAATACCGACCTCAATCCTTGTCGTCGATTCCGACGTTGCCGCAACATACAGGTGACTTCGATTTCGTTTTGCAATTTTGTTTTTTATTCAGTTTCGTGCCGATATGACTACAATCGTGCCGCTGTGAGTGCAATTTGGCTTTGTTTTTGTAATTTCATGCGTGGCCGTTCTGATATGAAATGCTGAGTTCAATTTCAAATGACGAGTTCAATTTGATGAAATGAACACAGAAAAAACGAGTGGAATTTGAAATTTCAGTTTATCATATGAGATGAAAATTGAAAATTTTTGCCTTAGTTTTATGGTTTTTCAGTTATTGTGTTTTTTTTTTCTAATTCTAATCCTTGCTTATCTGTATAAGAATGCATGTACATACTTTTCTTGGGTTGATCCAGAGCTTGGACCATTTCAGAAATCATGTTTTCTGAAACTGAAGGCTGAGAAGGTATTATTGGAGGAGCAATTAAAATGCAGAGATGTTACTGAAGTAGCATTGGTTGAGAGGCTGAAAATGAAGGAAGATGAACTATTGTATCTTAAATCCAAAGTAAATGAGTTGGAGGAGCAAGTACAAGTCTTGTCCAAGAGAAACAGATTCAGATATCCTATTGTGTGTGTGTCAGTTGTGTTATTTGTTGTTTTGCTTTTGTTCTTTGGTAAAGAGGAAAATGGTTGACAACCTTCTGTACAAGACTTGTCCAATAAAACCAATTATGATGAAATTGGTGTAGGACAACCTTTTGTTAAGGAAATTGCAATGTATGTTGTTATCTGAATTTAAGTGTATGCTGCCTTTTTGTAACTTCATTTCGGTTGTTAATGAAATTTTATATTGAATCAGTTTATGTTTTTGTGTACGTTCATTTTAGTGTATGTTGGTGTCATATGCACAAAAATCCTATAAGCCAAACAAATGTGGTACATTCAATCATCAACACATAACAACATGCACAAGCATCTTAAGTACCAAACAACCTCAACAAACACCAACTGAAGCCATGTTAAAAACAAAAGTCTTGTTGCCATCCTTATAAAATCAAAAGTCATATCCAATCCAAATTCCACAACCAAAACATCAAATCCAAATCCAAATCCAAATTTAGATAATACATTGCTAACAACTGCAGCTCCAATCCCACATCAAACCAGAAAACATGAAAAAATACAGTAGTTCACAACATACATCCCCCAAAACCCAAACAACAGTATACATCCATGACAACTAACAAGGGTTAAAATTACACACACTCTCTTGTGTCCCCTGATCTCTTGGGCAATTCTTGGATGTTTGTTTCCTTTGTCCAGGTGATGATCCTGCTCTTCTGTTAGGTACAAAGTGAGCTCTATTTTTCCCTGGCATCGGATTAAGAATTTGTGGAACAAAACAAATTAAGTTAATATCTGAAATATGCACTGCAATTGGTACAGGAAAAGTATATGGTAACAATGAAGCATACCCTCATATAAATGTCTCCTGTCTGCTCAGAGACCATCACACCAAATCCTTTATTGGCCTAAACAAGCAAAGACACAAATAAGTTAATAAACTGATACTATGCTTTATGTAAGAAAATAATAGCTTTTACCATTGTTATGTCTTTTACCCTAATAGCTTGCACAGGTTGAGAAGATTGTCCAACACTCCTGATTCTAGAACTCCTTCTTGTTTGTTGCATAGCAACTGTGGCTGATCTAGTAGTTGGGGCTTTTCTTGTGGTTGAAGCTGCTCTTGTGACCTTGGTTGCTCTTGTGCTTGTGGTTGCTTTTGTGGATGGGGCTTGTGTTGGTGGTGCTGTTGGGGCTTGTGTTGGTGGTGCTGTTGGGGCTTGTGTTTGTGGTGCTTTTGTTGGTGCTCTTAGGGCTTCTATTGGGGCTGGTGTTGGGACTGGTGGTGGGTTGGTTGATGTTGAGTTTGTTGGTGTTGGGATTGTTGGTGTTGGGACTGCTGGTGTTGGTGTGACAGTCCAATCTTTTGTAGAAGACTCCACATGTTGCTCCCTTGTACTTGGTCTCCCTCTCTTTTTCTACAATTTATCAACAAGGATATGAACAGAATGCATTATAAAAGTTTATAAATAAGCAAAAACAATTAAACTTACTCTTGTCTGTGCAGGAGCAGCTTCATTGGGGCAAGTCCTGATGTTATGCCCAATTTTCTTGCATTTTTGGCAAGTCATTTGTAGTCCAAATCTCCTCAGCTTAGTGTCACTCTTGGCCTCTTCTTCAGGAGCTTTTTTCCTTTTTATTTTAGGTCTACCAGGCATCTTTTTAAATGGAGGTGGCTTCACAGTGGACCCAGATGCTTCAGGCCACATTTTAGGCCCATTTAATGGTTCAAGACTAAAAGAGTATGCTTTCAAATTTCTTTCTACACTGAAGTATGGGCTGACAAAGTCCACTACATCCCTCTTCATGTACTGAATTGCAGAACTAACATGGATACATGGTATACCAGATATATCCCAGCTTCTACAACTACATGTCATGCACTTCAAATCAACCATAAACTGATCATCTGATATGGCAACTTGAAATTTTTCACCCACTGCAGGTTTTGTCACACACAACCTACTTCTCAACTTATTTTCCTCATTTTTTTTCCTTATTCTAGGACATATTGTGTCATTCAGTCCACTAGTCAACATTAGTTTGTGATGCTGCCTTTCCATTACATAAGTTCTAATACTCTCAAGCATTTCAACAATTGGTTTTTTTCTTGCCTTCACTATGGTACTGTTGAATGTTTCACATACATTATTAAGTATCATATCACATTTTGGATTCTCAAGGATAAAGGCTTTACAGAACCTGAAATTTTCCATGCCCATGAAATCATCATAAGCCTCCTTAGCCACTGCCTTTATCCCTTCAAGTGCTTCCTTATATGCTGCCTTGTGTGTGCTATGCACTACCCTCCAGAAACAGCTCTTCAGTGCACTGCCTTTGTGTGATTTCTTCCAATTCATGTACACATGTCGTGCACAATTTCTATGTTCTCATGTGGTGAGAGGTCCCTTATAGCAGCAATGAGTCCCTACATAATGAGATAAGTCAGAACATATATTAAAGATAAGCCAAACAACCAAATATATTAGTGCACATATTGAAAAAACTAACCTTTTGCTGATCACTGATAAATGTCCATCCAAGTCCATCTGATATCCCCAAATCTTGAAAAAGTATGACTAGAAACCATTTCCAATTGCTCTCATTCTCAGAATCCACAACTGCCCATGCCAAAGGAAATATCTGGTTGTTCCCATCCTTGCCAACAGCACACAATAATACACCTCCTAAAAAGGTCTTCAAGAAAGCCCCATCAAGGCCAATAATTGGCCTACAACCTTGCAAGAAACCTTGTCTTAGTGCACTAAAACCAACATAAAAACATTTGAATACACTGCCACTCTCCAATTTCAGCTGAAATGTGCCATTTCTATCAACCCTTTGAAGCTCTGCAATGTACCTCCTAAGTTTTCCATAGTGCTCCTCCTCTGTACCTCTAAGCAGTTTAAGAGCCTTAGTTTTTGCTTTGTACAGTTTCCACCTAGAGGGTTGCACACCATATTTTTCACTGATAGAATCCTCTAAGTCAGAAATTTTCATCTTAGGCTTCTTTCTAATCATAGGTAGATATTCCCCAGCAACCCAAGAAACAGTTGCTTGTTTAGTGTTCAAGTCCCTATGGCAGCTGTGGCTACTAACAAAGGTCTTCACAACCACACTACCTTGACCTTTTATCAGACTAGCATAAAGCCTCCATGGACAACCAACTTCACACCTAGCTTCAATCTGACTTGAACTACTTCTGACAAAACTTATGTTGCAGCCATTATAAATTGCATAATTCTGAACTGCCTTCCTACATTGCCCAATGGTTTCAAATCTCATCCCAAGCTGAAATTGGAAGGTCTGCAGATCTCCTTTTCCATCATAAACTATTTTTTTCTTCTTAGGCCTTGCTTCATCATCATCATCACCAAGACCCTCACCACTAGATGAATCAGTGTTGACATTCCCTTCAGAATCTTCATATTCTGACTCATTATCTCTTGCAGGTATATTTTTGTCATCAGCCTCATGATGTGAAGATGGTTGTGCAAATGACATGTTTGCATCTCCATCATCTGTTGACTGTCTGGAGTTCAAAGCTTCTCTCCTAGCCTGATGAAGATACTCCTCATCATCTGTCCCTAAATCTTCATCAGACAAACCATCATTACTTGAAGATTCACCAGATGGTTCATACTCCTCATCCTCACTTTCATCTAAAGCAAACTCACCCAGCTTTTCACTAGTATCCTTTGTTTGGTGTACTTCAGCAACTTCAGATACCCTATTCCTATTTGACTTTTCTTGTTGACAAATAGCAGCAACTTCAGGTACCCTATTCCTATTTGACTTTTCTTGTTGACAAACAGCAACAACTTCAGGTACCCTATTCCTATTTGAATTTTCTTGTTGACAAACAGCAGCAACTTCAGGTACCCTTTTCCTATCTGACTTTTTTTGTTGACAAACAGAAACCACAGACGGTTTGTTCAGTTGTTCAGTTTGCACAAATATTTCAACATATCTTCTGTTTCTCTGCATTTGACCCAAACATGCCATAACACCAGCATCATCTTTTATATCCTGAAACTCATGTGTTGTCCGATGCTTATAACATATTCTACCCCAGTTTTCATATCCCAGCTTCTTTATTTGATCTTCGATGTCAAAATAACCTAGCCTATCTGCATCCAACCCAGTAACTGTGGCAACACATTCACCATAATAATACTCATGCCCTTCGAGAGTGACAAATCTACCCTGGTGATTGATGAATAACATAAAGAAATCACTGCAAATTCAAAAAATTGAAAATTTTTACCAATTCGAACCCTAAAATAACTAAAATCAATTGAACATTTCAACTCTGAAAAGGCATTTACCTTGCGACCATGATGTTAACAAGTTCTTGTGTATGCTCACGATAATCGTCACGAACATATGGAAGACACACCCTTGTAATTTTGGAGCAAATAAAAAACCTAGGGTTTGGAAATGAAAAATCGGGAAGGGGATTTGGGGAAAATGAACGATTGTGGTGAATTTGGGGAAAAATCGTCTTTTATACTAAGGTTATTGCCACCTGGACGCTGACTCGGACGCCCGTTTGGTGTTTCCGTCAAGTTAAATTGCCACATCACACTTCCGTTGACGGCAGTTAGAAGTATGTATCAGGTTGTCAAAATTGTAAAGGTCATGTATTTTTCTGACAAGGTTTGAAGGTCGTGATTAAATTGCCAAACGCGTAAAGGTCGTGTTAATTCCCACCATTTTGCCTTAGTATTATTTTGATTTTTTCTTATAATTTATAATATTGTAAATATTGTAATTTTTCTCTCTAATCTATTAATTTTTATGAGATTTGTTATGATATTGTAAATCACAATACGAATTTTTAGTAGTTATTGATATGAAATGATATTATTGAACCCTTGAGTAGATGGTTTTTGGTATTAGCTCGTACGGAATGATTAGAAAATCGAAGGGATTTGTTATTGATGTTGAGATATAAATTCTATAATATATAGTGGTAGTTACATGTATAATATTTTTGCAATTGAATTTTAAATTTATTTTGTACTTATATTTTGTAATGTCTTCACACATATTTCTGTATACATATGGTTGGATACACAACAAAACAGAAGAACACGTGATTTGTTATTAAGGATAAAGATTGGTGTGGTATTAAAAATAAATAGTTAATAATTTTCTCTTGATATTCTGGAAATTTGGGTTTATAATTTTTAAAAATTGAAATGGTTGAGTAATCAATAAATCAATTGATAATTAAATGATTTTATTTGATGATATGATAAAAAATAGTATATGGTTGGTTACCAAATAGATAAGAAATCACCGTTATTTGTTATTAATGTTGATAAATAAGATTCTATTGTAACATATAATTTGCATAATTGAATATCAATTTTTATTTTGTAATTATATTTGCTATTGTATCATGATATTCAAATAGTATTTTTTTAAAAATGAAATATATTTAATAGAAGTTTTCTGAAGACATGTTGTATGATTGGTTACCAAAAAAACAAGAAATTGCTGTCATTCATAATTCATATGAATAATCAATTTTTTGTTGCGATAATTATCAAAATATAATTTTCAAAATTGATGTCACTTTATTTATTAGCCCAATTGCACAATTTACAAAAGATGCGTATAATTTTTTTTTTTTTTTAATATTAAAGTAAATTTTACTATACTTTCTTTTGTAGTAAGTTAACCTGTTTAAGTGCAAAGTCAAAATTATTGTTTTAGATTAGTCCATTAAACTCTTCCAATATATATTACAATATTGTCTATACTTTCTCTTATTTTTTTCCTTAAAAATAGTGTCTATACTTTGATTGACGAGTGAAGACTAATTACAATATATATATTTTTTTGGAAATATTCTTACGATTAGATAACTTCAAATAAATAAATAAATACAAAATTTGCAACCTTTTGAACTTGGGTAACAAAATCATGTTCGTATGGGTCTACGAAATAGACCACTTGGAGTCTTCTCTTTGAACATTTCAATAAATCTTTTTGAACATTTCTAATCAGTTGTTGTAATTTATTTTCCTTTGTGGTTTGGGTTTGTATCTTTTTAATCCCCTTTGGCCGCCACCCCTTTTCAACAGTTGTGAAGGTTGGAGCCCGTCTCAATCATTTGATTGTTCGGTTGTAAGTCGTTGTTTCGAGCTATATATTTTTTGGTTATCCTTTCGAAAAAAAAAAAGTCCACCACCAATAAAGTTTTTATATTTAACTAATATATATTAATGTAAATATTTATAATATAAAATATAATATTTAACATAGGATTGTTAATTTACTCATAGTGATTTAATATTATAGTTAGTTATACTTAGTTTCTTAATATTATATTTATAATTATACTACAAAATGAATTTTTCACGATTGTTTCCTTTTTCAATTATCATTGACAGATAACAACAATTTATTTTATTTTGATAACTATTATTATTATTTTTTATTTTAAAGATCGTGTATGACTTAAAAAATTCCTATAACAAGTTACCATATTTCACTGAACCTTCTTAAATGATATTTGAAAGCTACTAAATGTGTATAATAATACACAAAATCATTTAATTAACTCATTATGTCTCATATAGTATACTACTACTAAACCATGTGCACATACACATATACAACTAAAATTATATAAATATATGTATGTGCATACAATATAAATTATAAGTAATATAATGAGCATATTATATTTTATAAATTTTGATTATTAGTAAAAACTTATAAAAATGAGTGACATAAATTAAAACTATTTAATTTACATATAAATCGCTATATCGATTGCAATAAGGTAATTTACATTATTTTGAGTGATTATAACCAAATAGCAAGATGAAAAAAATATCGAAATTACTATAACAACTATGTGTGTATTTTAAGTACTTTAATTATGCTATAAAAATAATTATTATTTTTAATAATAAAATTTTCCTAATGGGCTGAAAAAAGCAAAAATAATAATTTTTAAACAAATCGCTCGTAGAAAACAATTTGCAATAGAATGTTTTATAGGTACATAATTTTCATATTTGATACTTTATGATTAGTTAGTAGTAGTTATTATGAAATAAAATAATTAAAGAAAAAATATTTTTTTATTAATGCAAATATAACGGTGTCTTATAAAGTTAGGTGAAAATGAGTGGGAAAATTTTTATTTTTGCATTAATTTATTTGTCAATAATTATATTTCCAATATAACAGTTTCTCGTTCATGTGCCCCTGTGTACTTATATATTTTGACAGGTTCAAATTAGAATAGTTTTCAGTGAAAGAAATAAAAAAATATCGTAGTCATCAGATCGAATAATTTAACGGCTAAAAATAAATTAAAAGTTTACAATAATTAACGATAAATTAGACGTTACCCACAACTCTCCACCCACTGTGGCCCACCCCACCCCACCCCACCCCACCAATCCTACCCTCTTTCTCTCTCT